ACTTAGATGGATTTAGACTCTATCATATTCAGGTATCTTTCATAGAAACAAAGAACAGAGTACCACATGTGCTCACTTATAAGCGGACCCTGATCATTTACCATAAAACAATAAGAAAGGGATTGGCAGTAGTGAGATACTGTTGGGGTGGGGGTGGGGGCGGGACACAACATCAATAAGAGTACTTGATCTCAAACCAGGCCAAGTGGGGACCAAAGGTAGGCCCAAACTTTATCTGTATGATGGCAACTTGTATACCTAATCCTGAATTGTACCCCACATCTTTAAAATTTAAAAAAAAAAAATTTTAAGTAGAAATCTACCAAATAATGGAAAAGGCTCGGTACAGTTTTTAAAAATCATCATTTTTCTAACTCATATAGTAATAATGGATTCAAGAAAGAATCATCAATAGATACTAAAACTGGTGTGTGAAAGTTTCTTAAAAACATGATAATACACAGTCACAAAACATCTCCCTACAGATTACTTATTAATTACAAAAAAAAATGAAGCTACTTTAATATTGACAAAATCTGATAGATTTAATTAACTGATCTTTATCAATAAAAAACTGGCATCATTAATAGTGGAGAAAAATGATATCAAGTCACTCTCAATATAATACACACAAAGGATAAAACATCATTTATAAGTTATTTCTGTCAAAATTGCTTAATACGCATAAGGAAGCAATAAAACCCATATTAGGCCTGGCTCGGTGGCTCTGTAATCCCAACTTTGGGAGGCTAAAGAAAGAGGACTGACTGCCTGAGCTAGTAAGTTCAAGACCAGCCAGAGCAACTTGGCAAGACTTCGTCTCTACAATAAATCAAAAATTAGCCGGGCATGGTAGCTCGTACCTGTAGTTTTGGCTACTTGGAAGGCTGAGGCGGAAGGATCGCCAGAGCCCAGCGTGTCATGGAGTGAGACTCCAACACACACACACACACACACACACACACACACACCCATATTAAGGGACATGCCACAAAATGAGTGACTCCTGAAAATGTTAGCTGTGAAAGACAAAAAGGCTGATCCACATTAAAGGAGACGAAGTAGATGCCAGATGCCAACTAAGCGTAATTCATAATCTTAGATTGGGGGAAAATTGTTATAAGGGACATAATTAGACAACTGGCGAGATCTGACTGTAGACAGTATGTGGAATAATAGAATACCATAAATGTTAAATTTCCTGAACTTAAGTGTACTATGATTATGTAAGAGAGCAGCATTAGATAAAAGATACAAGTTTAAGTATTTAGAAATAAAGGTTCAAGATTTCTGCTATTTACTAGTAAATAATTCATACAGAATAATATATATGTATGTGGACAATATGTGTGTATATTTATAAGTTTTTGTATATATTTATGAGCATCTGAGAGTATAAACATAAATACAAAAAGAATGACATGAAAATTTGTCAAAATTTTAATAATTGGTGAATCTAAGTAAAAGGCACACAGGAATCAGGGTCCTATTCTTATCTTTTCTGTAAGTTTTATATCTTTCAAAAACAATAAGTCAAAAAAGTTCTATTTCCAATTTTTTAATGTACCTATGCGAAATTAATTTTTAATGACTATGATTAAAAGCAAGGAACAAACAAACTGAACATGTAATCACCACCTCACTTCATCCACACTGACCCTTTTGCATTTCTCAGACTATCTATCTGCTCTCCAGCCACAAGACCGTATGCTGTCCTCATCCTTATTTTGCCCCTCACTGCCCTGTCTAATTAATCCCTGTCCTTTCTTTATGACTCAGCTTGAACTCTCGGGCTAAGTCCACTACCTGGTCTCAGGGCATCATATTCTTCTCACAGCTATTATTTTACACGTATTTGTATGATCCTCTACTTAATGCCTGCCTTATCTACTAGGTAATAAGCTTCATGAAGGCAGGAGCTAAGTCTGGTTTTGCTCACCATTTTAATCCCAACACTTATCACAATGCCTGGCACATAGTAGCAGCTCAAAAATAGAAAAGGAGGAAAACAATCAGTGGAGGGGAGGAGACTAACATTTACGTACACAGCTCTACTGGCCTTGTGGTTGTCCCTTGAACTTAACAGGCAGATTCTTGACTCAAGGTCCTTACATTTGCTGGTCCTTTTGCCAGGTAATCCTGGGGTAGAAGTTCGGCAGACTAATTTCCTAGGACAAACAAGGCTCACTTTTCAAGACCAGTAGCTGAAACAATGTCTCTAGACAGCTAAATACCCTGGTTTTCTGAGATCCCACAAGAAAAAAACAGAATGTGACTGAGAATCAGCCAGAGTCAGCTAGAACTAAATGACAACTAATCTGCCGACTACCCAACCTTGCCCCTCATTACATGCTCATTATAATACATTAGCATGCTAAATAACACATCTTCCCAGTGCCAGGACAGTTCCAACCCTGCAAATTTATAGTAATAGACTAGGTTGACGCCAATTCTCTAGAAATTTCCACCTCTTTCCCAAAAAATCCAATATTACACTGCCTGCTTAACACATAATCAGGAAAGAAAAGTATAAAAGTAAAACTCTGGCAATATGACTACTGTTCTTCCTATAGACTCGCCCAGACTGTTCTGCCTTTGGAGCAGCCTACTCTCTGTCATTTCGATAAACTTGCTTTCATTTTCCAACTGAACACCAGCAATATACAGGAGCTGCTCTGCCTACAGCACAGCCCTCTTTTGGTTCCTCTTTTCTTTGAATAAACTCACATTCATTTTCATTACTCAGTTGACTCACTCTTGCATTCTTTCCTGCTCAAAGCCAAGAACCCACTTGGCCTCTCAGGCTGAATCCCAAGTTTGAAGTCCCCCAACCTGTGTCAGTCCCTTCCCACAAAAATTCCCATGGCTAATTCCTTGCTCTCCTTCAAATCTTCGCTCAAATAGCACTTTCTAAGTAAGGCCTTCCCTGATCACCCTATTTCAAATTGCAACAATTTCTTCACCGCAACCGCTGTATACTCTTTAGTTGCATCTCTGGTCTATATTTCTCGGTAGCATTTATTATGACCTAAAATACTAAATATCTTATTCATTGTAGTACTATCTGTCTCTCCCAACTAGCAAATTAACTCCAGAAGGGCGGAGACTTCCTTCACTGCTGTAATCCCAATGTTTACAATTATGCCTAACACATAGTAAAAACTCAATAAATATTTGTACAAAGAATGACTTATACAAAATAAATTGTTATATTTTTACATATTTGAGATTTATATTAATATAGTTTTAAATATGCAAAATGTCAACTATTTACATGTAGGAAAGACTACCTTGTTTTAAGGATCTATACTTCTTAATTTGAGGAGTTAAAATATTCTTCCTTTTTCAAAATGATAATGATAATATATAGTTACTATTTTTTCCTCAATGGGCTTACTTGCCAAAATGAGAAATGGTCAAATCTGTCAGTGTCTAACATGTTTTGGAAATTTTACTGGTCTATAAAATCTAAAAGTCTGAAGCTATTGGCATATAAAATTAAAATAACTCATCAGAATGTCGTTTCACTATCTAGCCCAACAGACCCACTGAAACCAATTTTACCTTTCAAAACTCTCTAGTCAAGCCGGTATCTTTACCAACTTCAAACCATGATTTTGATCCAACCAGATCCTTCTTCGGAACGGACTTTCCCCTTCCTTAATCTCTTCTCCTCTACATCCTTCTCTTCATTTATCTAAAATCAAGCTTTTCCTTATCATTCTGACCTATATACATCTTTCTCTCATCTGAACACCTCTAGCCCTTTAGCTAGGGCTCATTCTAAACACTCGTTTGGCCCAAGCTAACTAACTGCATGAGAATCATTTTGGGTAGATTTGTAAAAGGCTGCTTACAGCATGAGGGCAGATTAGGAGAATCAGAGTTTCCAGGATTGAAGCACAGGAGCCAGTTTTTTTGTTTGGTTTGGTTTTTATGAGTTGAAGTGTCTCATTCTGTCACCCAGGTTGTGGTGCAATAGTACCTTACAGCTACTACAGTCTCCACCTGCTGGGCTCAGGTGGTCCTTCCACCTCAGCCTCTCTTTTTTTTTTTGAGTTGGAGTATCATTCCACCGCCCAGGCTGGAGTGCAGTGGCATGCTCATGGCTACCCCAGCATTAACCTGCTGGGCTCAGCCGATCCTTTCGCCTCAGCCTTCCAAGTAGCCGCAACTACAGGAGAACGCTACCACACCCAGCTAACTTTTTGATTTATTGTAGAAATGAGGTCTCACCAAGTTGCCCAGGTTGGTCTCGAATCTGTGGGCTCAGGCAGTCCTCTCACCTCAGCCTCCCAAAGTGCTGAGATTATAGGCTTGAGCCACCACGCTCAGCCCCACCTCAACCTTTCAAGTAGCTGGAATTATAGGCACGCGCCACTATGTCCAGTTAATTTTTTGATTGATTGTAGAAATAAGATCTCACCAAGTTGCCCAGGCTGGTCTCAAACCACTGGGTTCAGTCAATCCTCTCACCTCTGTCTCCCAAAATGCCGGGATTACAGGTGTGAGCCACTGCGCCCGGCAGGAGCCAGTATTTTTTTAAAGTCCTCCTAAATGATTCTGATGCACAGTCTGACCTACAAATAATTAATCTATACCATAGTCTGAAACTAGATATAAAACATTTTGTGATTATATTTAAATAAGTATTACTTATGTGTGCCTTCTGGAAGTTCTTTTGGGTAACAAAGGAAGTCTTATTACATAAAAATATTTTTAATCATAATAGTTACAAGTTTATCTTAAGATTTCCCATTAAACATCAAATGTGCATGTCCCATGTTCAATTATACCTATGGAGGTCTTAATTTTGGAACAAATTATTTCAAGTCCAATTGTAATATTCTGACAAATATTCAGAGGCTTTGTGAAAATAGTATGTTATCATAGGTGGTCATATATTGCAAAGAAACTAACATACTTAAGCTTAAGTTTAATTAAATGGGTAGCAATGCAAATTTGATTTTAAAAAGTTAACTTAAATATAGTTTACTAACCTGTTTGTTGTTCTCTGCCATGGAAAGCTGCAATGCCAAGAGCATGGAGTCTGCACCACAAAGAGTAGTTCTCTCAGAGTTACAAAGAGTATGCCAATTATTTCTAAACTCTTTAATCATATCCAAGACAGACTTCTGTTTAAGCACCGCCATTCTCTTAAAGGACAGAATACAACGTTAAAGTATCTTATTTGAACTGAAAGTTAACATTTAACATGTATAAGGAAGAATAGTTAGAGAAAAATATGTAATGAACAAGAGGTCATTTCATATTTACCAAGATTGCTTTTAGTTAAATTTAGAAAAACTGAATAATACAATTTCTACCCAATCATATTTTCCTCTCGTTTAGTTTTCTTAAGTCAAATCTTTTGAAAGAAAATTCAACCTTCAATTCTCAAAAATCACACAAAACAGACATGCAAATTCTACAAACTTATAAATACAGACACATAGCCAATTAAAGCTACATTTTTTTAATGTTTGCTTTTAGATAGATGAAAACATCTATGATAGATTTTTTTTTAAGCCAATTTCCTCCAATCCCTACATTGCCCCAAAAGAGGTGGCTTATTTTTCTATCCCTTTGAGTCTGGGCCAACTGTGTGGCTTGATTTGACCAACAGAATGTGGCAAGAATGATACTGGAGTTCTGAGCCTGGCCTTAAGAGGTCTGTGCAGAAGAGTTAATATAGCAGGCCTGACTGCTATCCTTTGAAGCTGGAGTCTAGTCTGGGAACTTAGGTTTCAGGAGGGTTTCCAATAAAAGTGGCTCACTGTGCTAAACTGTTTATGCAAACAATGTAATTTATACTGAATACTTGCCTTCCTTCTGAGTCTGGAATTTTGGTACAGAGGATGCCTATCTGTTCAGCCCTGAATTAAAAACCCTGGACACTGAGACTCTAACAAGCTTCCCTGGCAGATGTTTCACAGGTTGTCACAACATGTTACTGGAGAAATGAAGTGTGTCCAGTGTGCTCCACCAGGAGAGGACCTTTGGAAGTTTGTACCTGGGCTCCCCTAGACTTCACCCCATATGGCTTTTCCCTTTGCTGATTTTGCTTTGTATTCTTTTGCTGCAGTCATTGGCCTGACTACAAGTATCTGCTGAGTCCTCTGAATCCTCCTAGTGAATCATCCAATCAGTGGGTGGTCTTGGGGATCTCCCAACACAAAGCCTTGTAGCTTTAGCTCTCCCTCTCTTGCTGCTCTGAGACTGCTATATAAAGAAGTCCAAGCAGAAGGGCCATATAAAGGAAAACTAAGTTGCTCCCAGTGACAATCAATACCAATGCAGACATGGGAAAGAGACTACTTTAGACTAGTTAACCCCAGTCAACCTGAGAGATGAACTGCAGCCACATGAGTGATCCCAAAAGCAACCAGCAGAAGAATCTAGCTGAGTCCAATCCAAATTGCTGACTCACAGAATCATAAGCAGATAAAATGATTGCTATTTTAAAGCCACAGAGTTTTGAGGTGGTTTGTTTCACAGTGATAACCAACACGAAGCTAATACTTAGGAGTTTACTTGTGCCAGACTCTTTTCAAAAACTTAATATTGACTATCTCATTCACTTCTCATAAGTGTTCTATGAGATAAGTCTATTATTATCTTCTTTTTACCTGAAGTAATGCCCCAGGTCACTCAGCAAGTAAATGTACAAACAGCATAAACTAAACCCAAGATATGTAACTCTATAAGCTATGCTCTTAAATCACTGTATTATTGAACTTTTCCTGATGCAGACAAAAGTTTTTCAAAATAATTTGAGGTAATGCAAATGTTTCACATACCGAAGCCTACCTAAGGCACCCAATTCCTTTCTCTGAGTTTACAGACATGTCTGATAGAATTTGGGGCTTTTTTTCCTATTTTTGTTTAAGTACTCGAGTCTCCAACATATTCACATGCCCGTCATCTTATTCTGGGTATTTTTCTGTACTCATCTTATTTACTGATTCCTTTTGTTATCCTTTTCTTCTATTTATATGTAGCATAAACAGAATCCCCAGATGTTTACTACTAGCATTTCTGGTTTGCATGATCAAGAAAAAGGACATATGATATTTACAAAATAATTATTTAAATTTTGACATTATCTGTGATTCTAAAAATTTAAAGATACAGGTAGAAGGCTATAGGTTAAAATATCTACATAAATAAAAATCCTTGTAAATAGCTGAGTTACATTTCTCATCAAAATATCAGCCTCATCTTTTAAAAGAAAAAAAATGTAAAGTAAAGCATCAGTTTCAGTGACATGATCGGTTTGCCCGAAGTAAATTTTTAGCAGTAAATTTCTTACTGATATTATTTGAAGGTAGTATTGTGAGTTTAGATTGCTATCAACAAAGACTTATTTGCAATTAGACCATTCTGAAACCTGGCTCCACCACTTGCCAGTTTTGAAGTCTTGGTCAAGATATATCACCTCTCCCTGCCTCAGTTTCCTCATACTGAAAATTAAAATAATGGTAGTTCTTATTTCATGGGGATCTGTGAAGAGTAAATGACATAAATACAAGTATCACTTTTAGAGCAAGGCCTAGCACATATAAAAACACAGCTATTATCATGCATTATGAGTTTCTACATTATTTTGAATTAAAACTGTAAGAGCATTACTGTTGATGACAGAAAACCAACAGTCTAATCCAGGGGTTAGTAAACTGTTTGGAAAGGGACAAATAGTAAATATTTGAGGCACACAGGCCATATCTCTGTCACAACTACTCACTTTGACCTTGTAGTGTGAAAATAGCCATGGACAATATATAACAAGTCAGCCCAGCTGTGCTCCAATAAAACTTTATAGACACTGAAATCTGAATTCCATATAATTTTCACACATCACAAAATACTATTTTGTTCATTTTCTTCCCAACCATTTAAACACGTAAAATCCACTCTTACTTAGCTCAGGAGCTGGTCGCACAAAAGCCACCCCTGGTCTAGTCCCAGTTCCACTAGCAGCCAGGGGCTGTGCATGCCTCAGGGACAGTCCACCTGGCAGCCTGGCAAGATGCATCCCCGCATGGAACACAGGAACAACGCCTGCCCTCTCTGCTTACCTTCCAGACCAAGGTGAGGAGGCAACGAATGGCAAGCCAAAAAAACAGCACTATAAGGCAGCAGCGACAATTCACGCTTGTTTTTTAAAAAAATCAGATTCCAAGCTGCACGGCAGCAAAAATTGTGAGACAAAATTGTGACTGGGGAGGCAGGTGAGATGGCTGGAAGAAGGCCACCTCGGGTCAGATACCGCAGGGCTGCTTCTCGGCTCCCCATTTGTCAGCTGTGGTCCTTGAGTGTTTAAAACCTCTCATGACCCTAAGTTTCGTCATCTGAGAAACCAGAAGACGATTCCTACCTCGCAGAGTTATGGGGACGTGCGTGAAGCAAGTCCAGAACCCACCCGGGGCGGCGCGGAGCAGGTTCGCAGCTAAAAGTGGCAGTCGGTGCCCTTGTCACTGTTAAGAGCATGTCCCCAAGCCCCCTTGGGAGGACAGAATAGTCAGGGGAGGGAAGTTGAGGCACTGGAGTCTGCAGGCACAGTGGCACTAGAAGCCTGGTGTCCTGCCTCACCAGTGGACCTGAAGCGGGCCTCTAGGGTCTCAGTCCTCCAGGTGACAGCCCCGGACGGGGCCTCCCTGCTCCCTCGCTGTAAGGCAGGCACAGGGAGCACAGCGCACTGCTTGGATGTAGCCAGGCGAGTGTGCATAGGCAACTCCAACTCGGGTAACTGAAGAACAGGGTGGTTGAGCGTGCAGGCGTCTTATGGGGACACGACCCTCAACCCACCCGGCAAGCAGATCAGACCCGACCCCCAGGGAGCTGGCATGTGGAATGACCAGGGCAGTGAATCACAGAAACAAAGAGGGAGAGGCATGATGTTTTAAGAAAAGCCCAAATCGAGCGAGGCAGGAACTTTCATCATTTAGAAGGCCTTTGTGCACCCCCCGCCCCCCGCCCCAGGTCCCATACCCTCTACCCCAACGGGCGCCCGCACAAGAATTCCCCATCACAAGCACTCCGCTGTCACCAAAACGCCCGGCCTGAATCGTATTTACCAGCGCGCGGGGCAAACAGGGCAGAGGCGAGACTCACCGGCCAGGGGACCCGCGGGGACCCGAGGGGCGCGGCTGCCACTCAGGAGAGGCGGGACCTACGCCCGCCCGCACGCCCGCAGCCGGTCGCCGCGGAAGAACTTTCAAACCTCGCGGGAGGCGCCGGCAGCCAATCGCCGCGCTCGCCCTCCGACCCGGAAGCAGAGCCGCGCGCCCCGCGGCCTCGCGGAAGCCGCCTTCCGCCGGTCGCTCCCCTGCGCCCTCCGGTGCGTATCCCGCGGGAGTTCCCCGGGCCGCGCGGACGATTCCCTGCCTCCCGCGCTTCCGCCGCGTCCCCGGGAGCCCTTCCCTGCGACCTCGGGCTCGAGGAGGTGGGAGGAGGGGCTCGCCTGGCTCTGGGAGAGGCTGGTGGTGGGACTCGCTCTCCTGCCTCCGTGGCCTTCCAGCGTAGAGGCCGGGGGGCTGCCCGCCGTGGGCGCGGGGGCCGGGGGCAGGGGCTGGCGCCAGCCCTGCTGTCACCTGCGGTCTGCGAGGAGCCGGGGCCTCACTTGCTGGCCTCCGGACTTCTGCGCTTCGTACTGCTCTGCCCCGGCTGGCCCGTCACCTGCTGGTCACCTGCTGGTGTCCGGGCCCGGGTGCCCATTCCTGAGGTTACGAGTCTGTAAGCTTCTTATTCCCAGTATGTTAGGTGCTTGCTGTATCTCTTGCTGAGCCCAGACTGTTTGCAGGACAACTCTTGCGTCTAATTTAGAAGACAACTTTTTAAAATTCATAATTCTCACATGGGAATGATACTCCCAGAATACACACTGTGGCCCCACAGGTTAGTTAAGGTTTTGTGCCTGCTTTTAGGGATATTTTAATATCATCTGTTTGGGCACTCCTTCCTCCAGACACTGTATTTTTATCTGCTTATGTGATAGCACTTTCCGCGCTGGATCATACCTATCCCTGGACTAATCTTCACGCCAGTAGGCCATGTTTTTCTTCTCTAGCACTGGTGCCCTCCCTACACGTAGTGTATGTGAGTCTTCCAAGTCCTGGCTCTGCTTACAGTCTTGTCAAATTGGTTAACCTAC